AATTCAAGATTATAAGAGAACTTTGCAATTTTCATAACATAAATAAAATTGAGATGAGTATTCATTTACACCTTGGCAAAAAAAAAAAAAAAAAAAGAAAGGATGATGATCTTACATAAAAATTTGATCTAATAAACCAAGTATATAGTATTGTATAGAGTATTACATAATTTTGTGATTTGCAAATCATTCTTCACAAAATTATACTAAGTATTTACGGTGTATTTGTCACAAAAAAGTTGATTAATTAGATTTTTTAGGCCAACCCTTTAACTTCAGATCCTTTTATCAATCTAAGTCGTTTACAAGAACCAATAAACATTTCCCATGGAACATCTCCAACCAACATCCAATCTCCATCTTTGTCTTCATAAGTTGGTTCATCCTTTCCAGCTTTAAATTTGAACAACTCTTCTAAGGCCTTTAAGAGTTCCTTGTAATCATTGTATTGTTTTAGATCAACCTTTCTAAGGTAAGGAGCTCCGTCCATGCTAACTTTCACGTACATTCTTGTGCCTTCTTCTTGTGATTTCGTAGCTTGAAGGCAATTTTTTCGGTATGACCTAATAGGAGGCCATCCGACTGCTTGAACCCTATAATTATAAGTAGAAAAAAATCAATTAGTAACGTGATCATGAGGTATGTGACTAATAAATAGAGGATAAAAAAAATCTAGATAAATATCAGGTGAAGCGAATATGATTTATATCAAAGTTTCATCAACTTACTTTCTTTGTGAGATTTGGTGGTCGTCATGACAATCTTCAATACCAGAAGTAGATTCCTCACTAATATTTGAAAATGATCTTTTCTTTTCAGATCCATTAGTTCCTGGTAAGCCTAATCTCAACTCTGTATCATTATGATAGCTTGAGATTTCGTTGCTCTTTTCCATTGCTAGATTTAAGACAAAAACTAAGGTGATAAGCACAGTTTTGAAAGGTTTGAACTAGTAACCAAAGGGAGAAGTTTTAATCTTGTGTAGGTTAGAAAGCAAATTATTTGTTGATGTATGTTTTGATGAGAAGATGCATGAACTATGGGTTATATATATATAGACATGGAATTATATAAGAGTGGGTCTACTTTGAGCACGTGTGGTGTACTTAGCAGTTTGATTAGAAGACAGGACTTATCAACTCATTAGTTACTTGTCGCTCAACTGCACATGCCCTTGTTTGATCCTTTTGGTCTGTTGAGAAACTTGGCTTTTAAGGCCATGATTCTAGGACAGCTTTTTATTACTTTCCCTCTAAAATTAAGTGTTTGATGTTTATCAAAATGTTAGTTACTACTCCGTACGTGTAACATAATAAGAATCTTAATACTATATTATGGTATTTTAATTAAATTTAATTTATCCTTCAAAAAAAAAAATTAATTTAAAATAGTTATAAATCTATACTAATAAAGTTGATATATAGATTATGTAGTAGTATGTCTCAAAAAAAAAAAAAAAAAAGAAGTATGTAGTAGTATTGTACTGTTTAAATAGATATATAGATTATAGATCAGAGATCAAACCATTAATGTTAATATGATACTATGGCAACTAATGCATTAGTTTATACAAGAGTACGTACAAGACTTGTGATCAATCTTGCAAACCAGCATAATAATCTCATTCTGTTCATGAATATTCTGTTAATAAAGATGCACAAATATATATATTATACTTTCTTTTTTTATTACTAAAAGTTCGACTCAATATTCATTTTTGAGCTGTTCAATAAATTCGATTCAATTTTATTTTATTACCCTCCTTATACTTTTTTACATTCTCTCTAATCTTATTTTATCCACCTTATTACCTCATCTAGCTACACTAATTTATTCACTTTATTTTTACACCACTCACTTTTTTCCATGTATTATGAGCAAACAAAAGACTACAATAAAGTGATCGGTCGAACTTTCTAAAACAAAGGGCGTGTATAGTTTGTTGGTAATTACATTGCATCATATCAAGTGTGTTTTACATTAATGTGTTATTACGCTTTAATTTGAATCCTATAAGCCTATTAAGGATTTACACTGTACCTTGCGTTTACACTTAGTTGGACCTAATAAGCCATAATAATTCAACTTGTTTAACACTTAATTTTTTTTAAGGTGACAAAAATGCACTCGTACTCTTTGTACCTCGCAATATCTACAAGACTACACCTTTTCTATTGTTTTCTTTCTCTTACTTTAGCTATGTTTTTTTTCCTTACACCCACTTGCCTCTCTTTGAAACAAGATTTATTTTACAGCCGCACATAATTAAATACGGAAGGATCGGAGTAGTAACAACAAATACTATACAAGTGCGAAAACGCAATGACTCTACTTCTAGTACCTTAAATTTGAAAACATTAAATTCATAGATGATACTCCGTATAAAGTAAAAGAACATTTGGTGTAGCACAAAATTTAGACATCACCAATTTCCAAAGATTTACCTTTGTCATCCCTAGTAATTCCTAATAAACCTTTGTCTCTTTGATTCTAATCAAGAACCAAAATAACTTCTAACGAATGGTTGTGTATGCAATTACTTTATTAAATGTCGATTATGATGTACGCTAATAATTTATTCATATATAAATCTAAAAAATCATAAAACTTAAAGTATGTAAGCTTGTACTATGTAGTTTAGAAGAACGAAATTAAAGGCCTTAAATATTTACTTGATCAATCCTTAGATATTAACTTACATATCTATATAAACGTGTTCAATTAATTATGATTATTATTATAATTGTGGTGTAGTAAATAACTACGTAAAATATAACCCATTTTATAGTGTTACAAAAAAAAAAAAAAAAAAAAAAAAAAAAAAAAAAAAACATCATATCATAGGTTTTATAAAAATTAAATAAAGTCATAATCATAATTATGATCAATATAATGACTTCTATTACTTTACCGACAATTTGAAAGCAAGAATCTGAAATGCATGTAGTTGGATAAGGATAGTAGTTGTAACGTAGACGTGTAGGTCACACTATCTCTAATTTGAGGGACAAGCTTAGGACATACGTTAATGCAAACCCTATTTTTTTTAATTAATAAGAACTCTAATTTGGGTGGTTATGATTGAATTTAGAAAGTAATGTGGACCGTTGGATGAGAGTAGATGGTGGTGGTTGAGAGAACTATCCCACATGAAAATGCCCTGCAAAATCTTGCAAACAACAGCTTGAAGATCTGGACCATTTAACTGACACCCATGACTTTGGGTCGGAGGACGCGGTCATGCGGATACATATATGATCATATTAATTATCTGATATGTGGTGTGGATACAAATCAACATTCTTATTATTCTTGTCAATATAATGAGTTATATGTATGATGTGTATATATACTTTGGTATCTTGGGTGGATTTGCGATTTTCATTATACGGAGTAATAATATACATCAAATCGGGTGTATCATATATTTATGATCGACATTTAATTTGTGGTTTATTGTTTAATTTAAATTTGTATTCCACTCTAGGGTGAAGGTTTATTGTTTAATTTAAATTTGTATTCCACCCTAGGGTGAAATAATCACCAATCAATTTGATGTATAACTAACGTGATGCATGTTTCGGCTAGAAATGTCATATTTTGTGTTTTTTGTACGTAAAATACTCCATAGTTTTATTCTATATGGAACAATCAAATCTCAAAATCTAACTGCTATAATAATATTGAATCATTTATTTTTTGTAAGTGTAACTTGGTAAAAGAAATGCAATTAATGACGAAAAGTGAGAGATTAAGAGTTTGACACAAGAGATGACACACATACATGAGTGTATATGAATAGGCTGGGGGGTGAATTCATTCATCACAAAAGAAACTAAAGAAACACAGCACAAGAATACACTATACTATACACAAAGGTACACAAAGGTGATGAGGTGTGTTATTTGTTACTTGTTTCACGTGACATGTGTATGGTAGCACGTGTCATGAATATGGCAGATTTAGATTTATCGTATCTATCTGTTTTAATAAAAAGAGTAGTGCTAATTGAAATTGATGGCATATGTATTGACTATAATTTAGAGCTATGATCGGATTGATCACAAATAAATTGAGTAGTGAGTAAATGAAATTGATAGCGTATTGACTATAATTTAGAGCTATGACCAGATTGATTACAAATAAGTTGAGTAGTGAGTAATTGAAATAGATGGCGTATTGACTATAATTTAGAGCTATGATCAGATTGATCACAAATAAATTGAGTAGTGAGTAATTGAAATTGATGACATATTGACTATAATTTAAAGCTATGATCAGATTGATCACATATAAATTGAGTAGTGAGTAATTGAAATTGATGGCATAATGACTATAATTTAGAGCTATGATCAGATTGATCACAAATAAATTGAGTAGTGAGTAATTGAAATTGATAGCGTATTGACTATAATTTAGAGCTGTGACCAGATTGATCACAAATAAATTGAGTAGTGAGTAATTGATATAGACGGTGTATTGACTATAATCTAGAACTGATCGGATTGATCACAAATAAATTGAGTAGTGAGTAATTGAAATTGATGAATTATTGACTATAGAGTTATGATCATATACAACTAAACTTAGTTAATTTTACCAAATAATAATGCATGAGTATCAAATTTATTTTTAAAGGTTGTATCCATATTTTTTAGTCATGATATATGGTGATAAATAAACAAAACAAAAACTTATAAAAATTTATTTAACATTATTTAGAGAAATAGAGAGGAAATACAGTCGTAGAAGACAGTAAATAAAAGTTATATTTTGTCCAAAATAATAATTGTCTTAAAAGCTAGGAAGATATACACTCTACAGACCAAAAGTAGTGATAAACAAGGGCATGTGCTGTTAAGAGACAACTAACTAATGACTTGCTAATTCTGTCTTCCAATCACAATGCCAACTACACCAAACGTGCTCTAACTATAACCACTTTTATACAATTCTATGTGTATATATATAGCACATAGTTTTGTGCTTCATCTCATCATCAATACAACTTTTACTTTCAATTCATTATTTTTAAAGCATCTACAATTTGTTTCTAACGTGCACAAGGTTATTGCAAGCTTCGATTACTGATTCAAAGTTGTTAAAGGATCCATATCGAGCTTGTTTTTTTGCTTTCGTGGTCGTGTATCACTAACAATGGAAAAGAGCAACGATAACTTGGGTTTTCATGAAGACACCGAGTTGAGATTAGGGTTACCAGGAACTAATGGATCTAATAATAAGAAGAAAAGATCATTTTTGGAAACTAATGATGATGAGTCGTCTACTACTTCGTGTGTTGAAGATTGCCATGATGACCACCCAACTCCACCATCAAAGTAAGTAGATTGATCGCATACATTTAGATTTAATCGTGTTTTAGTCACTTGAATTTTCTTTTCACTATTTTTTTTTAACTTCATATAATTTTTTTCATGACACTAATTGTATTGTGCGACTTGTTATTTATAGGGTACAAGCAATTGGATGGCCTCCGATCAGATCTTACAGAAAAAATAGCCTCCAAATTACAAAATCAAAAGAAGAATCCACAAGGATGTACGTCAAGGTTAGCATGGACGGAGCTCCTTACCTAAGAAAGGTTGATCTAAAACAATACAAAGATTACAAGGAACTCTTAAAGGCATTAGAAGAGTTGTTCACCTTTAAAGCTGGTAAGGATGAACCAACTTATGAAGACAAAGATGGAGATTGGATGTTGGTTGGAGATGTTCCATGGGAAATGTTTATTAATTCTTGCAAACGGCTTAGGTTAATGAAAGGATCTGAAGCAAATTAAGGTTTGGCTTGCTAGCTTGGTCTAAAATTTGACATTATATCATGGTACAATATTAATGTACGGCCTAGTAGCCAGCCTTGTTTTGGATCTGTGATTATCGAACTTACACAATTGATCATATCACATAATTTTTGAGAGACTGGTTGAAAATCACATAATTGATCAAGTTATAGTCTTATAGATATATATAACATATATATATATATATATATATATATATATATATATATATATATATATAAACTCATCTCAAAAGTTTTATACCATGAAATTGATGTTATTGTAGTGTACTCGTCGCAGAATCATTATCCTTTGTTACAATCTAATAGCTTAGTATGAGTTGAACGGATGATGTTGTTCCGAAAGATTATTTATAGGCGCAAAATCAAATTTAATAAGTCAGGCGAAGATGACAATAAATAATTACAAGTATGATAATTAATACCATGACACAATGGGAATAATTAAGTGATGTTTAAACATGCCTTTATCCTTTTTTTTAAATAGATACAGGCCTTTACTTAGTTAAACATACTTAATTTACAAATGCTTCAATCATATTGTTATTCTATTAATTAGGATAATAGATAATACATTGTTATAAGTTTAAATCATAATCGATCTCTCTTTATCTTTTACATTCCTTGTTTTGTAGTGCAAAATCTTACTCGTACTTTATATGCGCTCCATAGTAAGTTGTATGAAGTCTAATAATTGTATCATTCGGCTCATAAGGTACACTTCACAAGCATCACAAATTCGGCTTTATGAATGATTTTTTTTTTCTTACAAATTACTTCATATTTTTTTTAAAAAAAAGTCCCTACTCTAGATTACTAAGAATCTAAAAATATGATGTAATTCGTTTGTCAAAGCCTACACGTAACATACATACCCATGCGATTTTAAAGCAACATCTTCACCATAAACTCTTAATTAACTTCGTAGTATTTTCCAATCCATTAATTAGTATTCGGATGCATGTTTAGTGTTCTATACCATCATCCTTCCTCCATCAATGGCCTACGTGCCCTTCTTGTCATCGAGCTTCAACATCGGCGCAGCTAATAATCAGGTGGCCACTACGTACCCATAAGGCTATAAGCCAAGCAAGCATAGCTGGCCAAAGCACAACACAGTCTCAAGACCCGTGCCTGTAATGTCTAAGAAAATGAAGCCAACATGACAACGACTCTACGTACGTAATGTTATATGTCTACGTCTAACGTCTTTGTTACTTCTGCATTATTTTTGGACATTAACAACTTTCATGAAACCATACTTTTGAACAAAGCTTAAGCTGTAGTAATGTAGTTTAGATTCCATTCCAAAATAAAAGTTAAAAAAATAAATAAAATAAAATAAAAAAGTTGCTCTAATTTTTGGTTTTCATTCAATTTTAAAAATTATTTATCGTAAATTTATATATTTTTTTGTTATAATTTTTAAATGAAACTACCCTAGGCGTAAGTATAAATGTATAACAGAGTTACGAGCGTAGCTAGTGAACTAGTGAAGGACATGGGAAAAAAAAAAAAAAAAAAAAGTAGAAGAGTAACGGACAGAAAGCCGGAAAGAAGGAAGAAAAGAAACTGAACTCTGAAAAATGAAACCCTAACTTTCCTCTTTCCTCTCTCTTCGAAGTTCGAAAATCCTCTGCCAATCCGCCGCTCTCGCTCGTCGGCTCCACTCCCGGCACTCCGTCCCTCCGTTAGTCGAGTCGCCGCCGTCGCTGCTTCGTGATTCACTGCTTCGTCCGTTCGTCTGCTCGTCGCTGGACTCGCTGCTGTCCATTCGACTTCGCTCGCTTCGCTAAATCGCTAGACCCAATTCACGGTATGTAAATCTGAATTTAATCTCTGAATTATTAGTTTATTACTTGTTTAATTGTTTTATAGTTTATACTTAATTCAATTATTCTGGGTATTGAAGATTTGAAGTATTGAACTATTGAAATTTTGAAATGTGTTGGTTTATTGTCTTATCGAAATCTCTGAATATTGAAATCTGTTGGTTGATTGGTTTATTACTTGTTTTTTTCTTCTGTTTTTGTGCATTTATTGAAATAATGAAATGTATAGTTAATTTTGTGAACTTTTGATTGCATTTTTTTCTCCTGTTTTTGTGAATTTATTGAAATGTATAGTTGAATTAGAAATTTAGAATTTTAGGTTTATTTATTATGTAATGATGTGGAATTGTGGAAATTGATATATATTTTTCAATTTAATTAGGAGATGTCAAAGATTCACCTAATTCAAACAAATCCAAGGCAACTAGTAAACAACCCGATCTTCCACAATTCTTGTTTAAAAGACAGAAACTCAATGAAAATGAGTCCAATGAAAATGAGTCCAATAACTCACCTTCATTTAGCTCTCCTCAAAGTCAAGAAAATGGTATGGAAATGGGTGGTTCAAGTAATAGTAATGTACCATTAGAGGAAGATTCGGTGTACGATGTTGAACTTCTTCCTCATGATCCGGGAAAAAGAATAAACATAATGGATTACCCCGCAAATGAACGAAATGCTATTAGGAGGGGTTATATTCTTAAAAAACCTTGCCAACCAAAAACTCTTGACTTCCTTGCAAGACAAGTGTCTGGTTTACGTCGCTTTAGTGTTCATTGGTTCAAGAAATGGGATTGGCTTGAATTTTAGTATTGAAAAAGATGCTGCGTTTTGTTTTGTATGTTACTTGTTGAAGAATGAAGTTGATAATAATTCAGGGGGTGATGCATTTGTTGATGGAGGGTTTAGGGCATGGAATAAACCGGAAAGATTTGAGAAGCATGTTGGTGGAATTAAAAGTGCTCGTAATCTTGCTTATGAGAAATATGTGAATTTAAGAGATGAAAAAAAAGAAATCAATCTTGAATGTGCTTGGCAATGCAAGTGATGTGATTAAAAGTGAATATTTTATTTGCTTGAATGCATCTTCAACTTGTTTAAGGTTTCTTTTGGGGCAAGGTTTGGCATTTCGTGGACATGATGAAAGGGGGGGAGTCATATAATAGGGGTAATTTTCTTTGAGCTTTTGAAATGGTTAGGAGAAAAGGTTGAGGAAGTAAGAGAACATACTCTTGAAAATGCAACTAGAAATTGTCAAATGACTTCCCCTTCCGTTCAAAAGGACATTATTAATTGTTGTGCCAAAGAAACAACTAGGTGCATAATAGAAGAAGTTGATGATGATTACTTTGCTATATTGGCCGATGAGTCAAGTGATGTGTCCCAAAAAGAACAACTAGCTCTTGTTTTGCGTTTTGTAGATAGAGATAGTGGAAAGGTAATGGAGCAATTTTTTTCTGGGTATGTCTTAAAAAAAGGTCCCAACATTTTTTTCTCATGATAAACCATTTCCGCATAAACCCATATAATGATATAAATCATGATTTTTCTAAACTTTAAATAATATAATGATACTGCATTGTAGTACTTTATATCATTACGTGGGTTTATGCGGAAATGGTTTATCATGAGAAAAAAATGTTGGGACCTTTTTTTTTAGACATACCCAGAAGACTGTTACTTCCATTGTCATTGATTTGTTACACTAGAAATGGAGGAATTGTGGGGACTAGGGAGTTTCTATTTGTCCGGTTTAAGATTCTAGGGTAAAAAGCTCAACCAAACACTGGAATGGGACAAACTCCATTCCAAGCTATACGACTACTACCCCATGAATATTGAACAGCAATTTAAAGAAAGCATATTTTTCCTTTATGATGCTCCCAAATTACTCGTGTGTATTACCATCAACTTGATGGGTGGTTGGAAAATCTCTTGATTTTATTCAACTATAATTTATGCTTATAGTCTGCTTTACTATGTAATGATGTTAGCTGCACACTATGCTAACTATTCTGAGTTTTTGCTTCTTCCCAGAGTAAAGAGGATGAAAGCTAACATTTTACAATGGCATGCTGTAGCTTCATGGACCTGGGATGCCCAGGACGAAACATGCGGAATATGTAGAATGGCCTTTGATGGTTGTTGTCCAGATTGCAAACTACCTGGTGATGACTGCCCATTAAGTATGTGACTTTCTTTTTATTTTTATGTAAACTTTGACTTCTTTTGATACATCAGTGATTGTCCTGTTGAATAGTTAGAGTGCAAATAGATATGCTGATCGAGTGCATTATGCGTATATAGACATCAATGCGCCTGATCTAGTGTTTTGGCAATCTTTTTATTCAGAGTAGGAAATTTGCTCAATAAAATCCACTTAACATCTAGTAATCCAGGTGTTTTGTCTTTTAAATATGACAAGCACACTCTTTTGGTGAAATAGAGCCTGTACTTTATAGGAGAATAAAATAAAAATTGATAGTGATACATTGAGATCTGAAATATATATGGTAATGTTGGTCTGAATCACACAATTTGGTGGTGAATAGTGGGAATGAAGATAAAATGTGGTGACAATGACATTGTTCATCTGGGTTAACTGGATAAGTTATTTAAATAGTAGCGCTGATTAACCAGAAAACAACTCCTCTTAAGTTGATCCGTGCAACCTAAACTCTATTCATCTAGTATGCTCACATGGCATAGGTCACTTGGCATCTTATGATCTTTTCCTCTGATATCTGAAGTTTAAATCAGAAATCGGAACACAATCTATGCCAAATGATGTATATGGTGATGATAAAATGGTATTGGCATGGATTGGTTGCCTTTTGTCAACTGCTATGCTTTTGTCCTTTATCAACCTCTCTTCTCGATATCACTTTCAGAAATAGAACAAGCCATCTCCATTATGGAGAGAGGACTGTAAGTACGAGGATCCCTTCTCATGTTGTGTATCAATTGGGATCAATTGTGACCAACGCTATAGGTGTTCACTAGAAGAGGAATTTGTCCATACCAGCGGGCTAATTAGAAGAAAATCAAACTTTGATGCCCAGAGCTCTAGACGATTTGAAGTTCTAGTTGAGGACTTCAACCCACCATCAACTATTTTTGCGTTAAACTTTGTAAAGCATTCTGTTTGTTTCCGTGAATACAAAAAAGGCAGGGTTTTCTGTAAGCCCAATTGTGCTTGTGTTCTGAGGTGTCTAATATTTTACATGTGTGCATGGATTTACCCTGGATAGTGCTGTTTATACTTCCTCAACGGTGCGTGTGTGTGTGTGAATTTCACTATTTTGTGAGGTGTTTTGGCTTGAGTGGCGTCCTTGTGTGTCCTTATCTTGAAATTTTACAATTATGAGGTTGGGTGAAACTAATGATGTTTAATGGTTGCAGTTTGGGGGCAATGCAACCATGCTTTTCATCTACATTGCATCTTGAAGTGGGTGAATTCACAAACTTCTCAAGCTCATTGTCCTATGTGTCGCCGGGAATGGCATTTTAAGGACTGATCATTTCTTCACCTGCTCTTTCTCAATTATCACTATCTGGTGAAAAATGGCGTGTTATTGCAGTGACTAACTGACTATGGTATAACTCTTAATCTATCTTATGTGGCGATATCTGCTTCAGCTTCAATCTCGTTTGATACAAGTGGTTGGTATCATATCCAATTTTGTGGAACAACTCACAAACTTTGCTTTAGTAAGCTATTCTAAAACTTCTCTGTAACTTGGTGTAATGACATGATTGAACTTGGTAGATGATTGAACTTACAGGTCATCATATTAGTTTGCACATTTTTTTTTTGTGTTGATCATGATTAAATTACTTATATTTTCATGATTCACGAGGAGCCAAGTGGCATGATGGAGTGATGGAAAATCAAAATCAATTAGCCAACAAACCTTAACCAAGTCTCTTTCAATCCATGTAGATGAGGAATTGTACCTGTAAATGCTGTGAACAAGTGTACTACTATGGTCATATGATTGTTTTGGTTTTTTCCTCTCTTTCTGTCTTCTCTGTACAGGGAAGAATATGACGTGACAAGCAATTTTTTGTTGTTATTTTTGTGACTTGATGGTGATGCATGTTTCTGGTGTAAGTGAGGTTCTTGTTGTATGATCCTGAGATACTACTTACCTGTACTCGTAGCATCTTCGACTGATAGAATTAGTTTGGGTGGGGGTAGATGGCTGAGATACTAAATAATGCTAGACTCGTCGTGATCTCCTGGATGATAATATGTTTAGTTTAGGCTTGAGGATGATACCTGAGGTCGATTCCATCTACAATACTTTCAGTCATAGCTGCCTCAATTGAAACCTTTAGACAGTTTCAAAATGAGCAAGGACATGACCAATTGCTATGATTTGGGAAGGTGACGCGATTACAGTTAGAGACAATTAGATTCGAAGGACTGATTCAAACTTTGTACTAAGTGTAACTTCATACTCCTACAATATCATGATGTTCTAGCAGATTTAGTGAGGCTACTTCGTTTAAAATTATGAGGATTTTAAGATTTTTTTTTTTTTTGTTTTTTTTCAAATGATCAAAAATCAATTTTCATACAGGTTTCAATTGGCCAATTTTTGTGCCAATAATTTAAAAAACAAGACTTGACAAACATAACTAGTAGATACATAAAAGTACCATTTCATAATCAGCAATTTTCGCTTTAATTACATCAAGAAATCCATGTAGCAAAACAACAGTGAACAATTTCATACATTACAGGAAAAAAAAAAAGTAATGAAAATTACAAGGCCGATTCAGAGCACCATTATTGGTGAACAAAAAAAAATGGTTCATGGGTTACTATCACCATTTCTCTCTCATCCACATCAACCCAACAAACCATTTATAATATTCACTCTTAACAATAAACACTAAATAATGGTTCATCATCAATACTCCCTACCCCACCTTATTTTATTTTTGTAAATATAATCTTTTTGTTTCATAATTATAATTTATTAACCGATGTCAATGTAATTAATTGACGTATTTAATATTTTAATCGTGATTATTAATTAAGAAATTATCGCGTTTTTTTATCAGCTTTTAAAAAAATTAATTCTTGTGATTAATATTTTTTAAACAACAACGCAGCTAATTTTAATTAACATAAAAAAAAGGAGGTACAAATCGTGATTACAGTTCTACAACTATAATAATGTTAATGATAATAATTTAAAATAATAATAACAATAATAATATTAATATTGGTATAAATAATAATAATAATATTGGTAATTATAGAGGAGATTTTTGAAGAGAAAAATATAGTAGAAAAAAATGAATTTTGAAAGTTGAAAAAAATATATCAATATGGGTGTCTATTTATAGAGGGGAAAAAAATAGAGTCGTTGGTAATTTTTTTTTTTTTTTTTTATTTGTATTTTGTAAAATATATCCGTTGCAAAATTACAACGGATATATTTAAAACAGTGCACACGTGTCAAGCAGCGGCTGGGCCAAGTGGCGCGCTCCCAGCCGCTGATTTCTATTTTTTTTTCTGAGCTTCAACAGCAAAACGACGTTGTTTTGCACCATGAAACAGCAAAACGACGTCGTTTTGCTATAATACCAGTCCAAAATATTGGTGGGGCCCACAGCGAATTAATTCATGGAAATGCTTGCTCCTGCAATCGAACCCATGACCACTCAACATGAACCATTAAAAGTTTGCCATTAAGCCACCACTTTATTTGTTTATTCATTGTGAACAATTAAATAGTTCACCCTTAAAGATGCCCTCAATGAATAACCAATCAAATTAAACAAGAAACTTCTACTGCATACTCATCATCGACAACAACGAGCATCCTTCACACCATTTCTGCTCAAAAACAAAAGTCCTCTTGTCAATGTATGTTCAACTAGAAGCATTATCAAGTTAATAAGGAAAACGTAACAAAAGCTACATCGTATTATAAAAATCTCTTCTATTATTTCGGGGTTGTAAGATGGTTACAACCAATGAACGCGTAAGATACTTAGTTATTTAACATGCTTAAGTAACACCTATTTTCTCTGTGGCTGTCCTTGTTATACCCACTCATATCAGAAAAGTTGATGAAAATGAAGAACTGATTTCTTGTAATCTTTTTATGCATTTTCTTTCAAAGTCATAACCCTATCTTGTATGTAGCGTGTTACAATTTTGTTTTAATTATTACTTTGTATTATTTTGTTTTTTTCCTATTTAAAAAAGTGGTCCAACTTATCATCAAATAAATCCCTCACACTAGTGGCCAAAACTTATTATCAGGTGCTTATGTCGGTATTGGCAGAAAACATGTCATGTACGAAGTATTATAAATTATAATTTTTTTTTTTGAAATATTGTAATTTATAATGTTAAAAAACACTGTTTTTAGATTTTTTTTTTTTTTTTTAATTGGATTGGTAAGAATGTAACATACACGTATTAGCAAAACTTGGGGATTCTTTGGTACGGTTGATGAACTAACCATTAATGGGGATTGGGGAAGTCATTAATAGGGGTGAGTACGGATCGGTTATCCGAAAAATCAGATATTTGATATCCGTATCCGATCCAAAATTTTCGGATATTCAATATCCGACCCATCTAATCCATCTAATAATATGGATTTTTATCCAAATTTTTTTAAAAAAAGAGAAATTTTAAAAACCAAAAAAAAAAAAAAAAAATAATGAAATAAAAAAATCTAGCCAGCCTATCCAATCGCCACCCACGACAACCCCACCACCACCACCTTTCCCTATTTTCCGACAGCCCCCTTCCCATCCCCCACCCTCCGTAGCCCTTCTCCTCATCCCCCACCACTGGAATCCCCCCTTCCCCACCACATACTCAGCGAAATCAACCTCCCCTCCTCGAATCACCCTTCGATTCCCACCCCCAGCCCCGAAAACCACCTTCTCCCTTCCCCTCCCATACCCCCATCCCTACTACCGTCGCAAACCCATCCCTACCGCACCAGCCTAATCAGCAAATCAGCCACCGCAGCGCAACAACCACCAACCTAATTTTGCCCACCAACACCACCAGTAAGACGCACCGTCGGTCTCGCCCACCAACATCACCAATTTCTTCTCGATGCCGCACAAATTCTAGCCACCAAATCAACAATATTGGCCAACAAATACATTAATTTATCATATTGGGCAGTGCGGAATGCGGAAATTCGCGACGGTGGGGAAGGAGGAGGAAGAATGGGAAGCAGCGGGGTTAGGGTTTAGGGAGGGCTGGGGAAGGTAAGGTTGGGATGCGCCGGTTGGAGAAGGAGGATGCTGCCATCGATGGGTTGCCGCGGTCGGGGGGGTAGCTGAATGGTTGTGCGGTAGGGATGGAGGTGGTTTTGGTTTTTTGTTTTTATATGAGAAGACGAAGAGGAGAGAGAAAGTTAGAGAGATAGATGAGAAAAGGGAGAGAGAAAGTCAGAGGCGGTGGGGGGTTTGGAGGAATGATTATTAATTAGGGTTAGTAGATTTGGGCCTTCGGCCTTTGGGGAGTATTTTAAATAACCAAGCAATACTTCACCCAAAAAATAATATGTAACAATAAGTGTTTTTTTCGGATATCGGATAGGTATCCGATATCTGACTTTTTTTTTTAATATCGGATATCCGAAATCCAAAATTTGGATATCCGATATCCGAGAAATCCGGATCGGATATCGGATCCGAAATCAAATTCGAATCGGATATCCATAATTTTCGGATCGGATCATCGGATTTTCGGATCTTCAGATAGTTTTACTAAGCCTTAGTCATTAAGATGCGTGTCTAATTGTATATGGTGTATTACAAATTGTATACTTGTGTTATATATTTCTTCTGTTCTAATAATATTGTAACAAGGATATGTTTTGATATTGTAAAAGTATTTTATAAGACAGAATCTACCAAAATTTCACATGTGTCTATATTCTGTTTAACGTATAAATCATATTATTGGATCAAACAAGAGTGATAAGCAGTGTAAAAGTTCAATTGTTGCAATATTATTGGAAGTAAGTATTTATTTACTACTACTTTGCAATTTGTCCGAAGTATTATACAAGGGATTATTTTTTATTTTATTTTTTTTTGAAAAAGGCGAAGAAAGAAAGCATAATTGACTAGAAGAGGAAATGAAATACGTACAAGGAGTGAAGAGATCATCTGAGGATGACATAGAGTGCATAAAGAATTCCAGGGAGGTACCCCAATAATGTCAGTACCAAACAGATCCAAAACTCAACCTGTTCATATCAATCAAATAAAATCATATTAGTTTGCCTTAGCCAAATAATTTTCACAAAATCATTTAATTTTCTAACAATTAATCAAACAAATAATTACTCCGTCTTCATTTTTCTTTTGAAGGATTCAAATGAATCAAATCTATACGAGTACTACGGAGCACTCATAGTATTAAATAAAATGAAATTTTGAAAGAGGGCCACGTTTTTTTTTTTTTTTTTTTTTTTTTTTACATTGGTTTTTGATTTCATGCCCCTTAAAAACTCATTCTTTTCGAATTGATTAATAATTTATTAATTACGTGATTTTATTTTTAAAAATTTAAGAATGTATTGAAATAGAAGGGCTTCAAAATTTATAACTTGTTGTTCAACACCACAAATCGTTAAACCTAGTACTTCGTATAATTTTAAAGACACACATCGTATTATTTGAAAAACCCTAATTACTTCATAAATCAGTACAACATCTACTTCTTTGAATTCTTCCTTTCCAATAATAAAAGAAAAATGATATCTTCTAAGATAAGTTAAAATCCCATTTCTTATAGACTTATAGTCATAACCTCAGTTATCATATATATATATATATATATATATATATATATATATATATATATATATATATATATAAACCTCCTTTATCATTTCTAAACCACCAACACGTAATTAAAAAATTACGATCAATACACACATAATTTTTTGAAAGTATCTTAATACTAATCACATAAAAATTATTAAAGAAGAATTTTGGAACTTTATTGATAAATAATTGTCATGTATCAAAGACAATTAATTTCTCGAATTTTAGGTTGTAAACAAAATTCAGTATTTATACAACTAATTGATTTAAAACAATTTACGAAACAATAAGGGGAAGAGAATAGAACATAACAAATTATAGTAGGTGTGAAAAATATATATACCTGACAACCAAACTTCAAGAAAACACCAAGAGGAGGGAGAATGATGGCAATAATAACATCAATGAAAGTTGCTGTACTCATTTTTGAATTTGGAAATAGAGAGGTTTTTTTTTTTTTCCTCAAAAATAAATTGAGAGAATTTTGAGTAAGAGTTTTTTTTTTTGAGAAATTAAAAAAAAAAAAAAAAAAAGAGTAAGAGACTTAATAAAAGTATAATAATGAAAAATGGTATTTGGTACAAGTATCTCAATGTCTCTAGAATCGTGAGTATATATAGTGAAAAACTGACATGTACCACGTGTCTACAGATCATTTGTCCAGCTAGGTGTAAAGGGGCTTTAAACCGTTATCCCTTTTCAAAATTTTGAGTATTTTAAAATTAATAAACTATGTCGGCCAATTAGTTGGTAGATCCTAGATATTTGCAAAATAGATTAAAAAAAAAAAGATATTTGCAAAATAAATAAAAAAAAAGGAAAAACATAAGACATCATATTAAAAATAAAATAAAATAAAAAAATAATTACTTGTTAAAAAAAACTAAAGTTAAACACTAATTCTTTTCATTGTTGTTGATCAATTACATTTATAAAATTCACTATGGTGTCATTTTTTTGTTTACAAAAATAAATATAACTACATAGTATAAGAGTTATATTCGTTCAATTTATATGTATTTTTGAGATTGAGTTTTTTATACTTCGTAAAATCTATTACTTGTAATATGGAATTGATGAAAGTGTTGCACAAAATATGAATGAGAAAATCAAGAAACGATAAGAATGATGTTCAATGATAAAGTAAAATGTGTACAACTTATTTTTACTTATTTTTTATTAGATAAGAAAAAATAAGTTATAATATGCTTTATCGTTTTATGTGCGTGATAAAAAAAAAATTGAGTCATATTAAAAAATCAGATCAGATTAGATAAGCAAAATTAAACCAACCATAAATATCTGATTATAATTTGTCAACCTTTTAGATATACTATTGAAAATCAGCTGAGATTTTTTTATGATAGGGGATCGGAGTTCCATCCCAAAGTTAGAGAAATAATACTTAAAATTACATATAAAAATTTGAAATGAGTGACCATTAACATGTGCAAAAGCAACCCAACATGAAATTTGAAATGAGTTTATCATAAACCTGAAAATTTTACCCTACACCCTAGTGTAGGGTGTGTTCCCTACACCCCCCCTATGCTACGTCGTTTTGTAGCTGGTATTGAGTTCTCATGTGCAGCTTCTTTCCTTTTGCGATTCTTTCCTTTTTTTTTTTTTTTTTTTCCTTTTTTTCTTTTTTTCTTTTCTTCCTCTTTTTTCCTTTTTCCTTTGATTCTTATTATTCAATTTATGTATATATATGATTTTAAACCCTATTTTTTCTCTCTCTTCAATTGATCAACCAACCTCCATTTTTGATCTACATTTTTCTCTCGCTAATTCATCTTCTTCATTTGATTTTTTGAACGAATTCGTTAATTGTTACCGATCATCAATGGCGAATTCTGCATCTGGAGATTGCGTTGATTTTGATCGCGATTGCGAGCGTGTGTTTCCTTCTGGACTTCGTTTCGTTGATTCGTTTGTGCAACAATGTGAGTAATTGTGATCATAATTTTTCAATTTTTAATTATCCCTAATTTGTTCTGTTATAATGCTCTGTTAATTTGAACTTAATTGATGTATTATTATTCACTTTCGATTTTTGAATTTACTACTTTGATTACATTATGATGAACGTTTTTGGATTGTTGTACTTTGTATGAACATTTTGTTGCTTCATTTGTTGTTTCATTTGTTGTTTTCTCTGTGTTTTAGAATTGTGTGTTTTTGTCGTATATTTTGTAGATTATACTTTCAATTAATCGTTTATGTTTTCTTATTCATTGTTACTAATGTGTTTATGTTCAGTCTTAAAGTCATTTTTGATCATTTATTTTTACATTTTTATATCGATATTATGTGTAGTGGTAAATAATGAAAATATTGTTCAAAATATTATGTGCTGAAATTCTTTTTGCAATTGATCATGTGCTGTTTTGATATTGAACATTTTACTTATTTGTTATTGTTCATTCATGAAACTCTTTATGATCATTTATAATTGTATATTGTGCAGTGGAAAAAAATGATGATATTATGTATTTAGAAGCAGAACAGTCTGAATTAAAGGATAAAGAATTTAAATCTGAAGATGAAGCTTTCGAAGCGTATAATGAATATGCTTTTAGGAAAGGTTTTGGAATTCGAATTGGGAAGAGTAAGAGAAGAAGAGATGATTCTTTTTTGATGAAAAGATTTGTTTGTTGTAATGAGGGATTCAAAGATAATAAGTGTAAGAATAAAAGGATTTATGAGAAGTTGGATCATCGAACTGGTTGTTTAGCTTTTGTGCAGTTTCATATTGATCATTTAGGGGTCTATACATGTACAAGACATGAAATGGTTCATAATCATGCTATGATTCCTCCTGAAAAAAGGCATTTGATAAGGTCTCAAAGAGATGTGAATAAAGAGCAGCTTCTTTTCATTTCAACAATGAAATTGAGTGGAGTCAAAGTTACTGATTCTTTGAGGGTTCTAAAGAAGGAGGTTGGGGGATCTCCTAATCTTTGTTTTACTGCTTCTGATGCTTATAATGCATTGTCATCTGAAAAAGCTGCCCAAATTGAAGGATGTGATGGTAACCAATTGATTAAATATTTTGCCAAGAGACATGTGGATGAGACAGATTTTTATTATGATTTTGAACAAGATGATAGTGGTGCTTTAGTTAGTTTTTTTTGGCGTGATGGTAGGATGATGAGAGATTATCATTACTTTGGAGATTTGTTGGTTTTTGATACAACTTATAGAACTAATAAATATGGAATGATATGTGCTCCATTTGTTGGGATGAACCATCATGGTAACAATGTCATGTTTGGTATGGGTTTTATTCTTAATGAGCGCACCGAGTCTTTTGATTGGTTGTTTGATACATTTTTGCACTCAATGGGGAGGAAAAGTCCCATTACAATTATGACTGATCAAGCACAAGCGATTGCAGCGGGTATAAGAAACATTTTTCCTTCAACTGTTCATCATCGTTTATGTGTATGGCATCTTGAACAAAATTCTAAGAAACACATTGGAGCATTGAGAGCTTTGGAAGGCTTTACAGATTTGTTTGGATATCTTTTGAAGTATTGTGAAACTCCTGCTGAATTTGAATATTTCTGGAAAAGGTAAATTATTGTTTTTTATATTTATTTTTTATTTTTATTATGTGATATATTTGATTATTATGTGATATATATATGAACATTTAGTGTTTTACATATGATCATACAATTTACTTTGTTATGTATGTTATCATAATATTATTAGTGTCCATATTGTTTATGATCATTATTCTTTACACAAATGTACATATTTTAATTTATATTTTGTTCATTTTTAAATTAATATATGATCATTTCTGTTATACAGGATGTGTGATAAATACAAATGTGAAAATGATGATTGGTTATGTGATTTGTATAAAATAAAGGAAATGTGGTGTCCTGCTTATTCTAAGAAGTATTGGTCTGGTGGTATATTGTCTTCTCAACGTAGTGAAACTACTAATAAGTCAGTTTCACAACGTCTTAATAAGACTCAAGGTTTATGTGATTTTTATCATGTTTTTCTTGATGTCATTTCTGAGTGGAGAAGTAAGGAAGGTGCAAGAGATTACAATACTCTGAGGGGTAATAGGCACCTAGCTTTTGCTAATATTGGTATATTAGTTCATGCAAGATCATTGTACACTATTCAAGCTTATGTTCTTTTTGAAGAGGAGTTCATTAGGGGGACAGCTTATGATCATGTTGATAATGGTTTGCGTTTTCCAGAATATTCATATCTTCTTTGGAGGCCTGGGAAGGATATAATTAAGCATGAAGTTGTTTTTAATAAGGAAACACATGCAATTTGTTGCACATGCATGTACTTTAGTGAGATTGGTTTACTTTGTTCTCATTCTCTTCGAGTATATCATTTGCATTGTGTGCGTAATATTCCACAAGAGTATATAATGAAACGATGGACAAAGGCTGCCATGTGTAGTCATGGTATTGAAGAACCTACTTTGAGGACAAATGTTGTGGCTACTAGTGTTTGGAGGTCACAAACAATCAGAAAGTTTGTTAAGTTGATAACAAGTTGTCAGAATTCTTTGAATGCAAGGGCAGAGGTTGAGTGTTATTTCAATCTGTTAAAAGAAAAGGTTGAGAGTGTATCAGGTGTAATTGACTTTAGTGAACCTGTTAAAGAGGTTGAAATTGTTGATCTTGAGATCAAGAATCCTCCAAAAGCTAGGCCTAAAGGTGAGAGGAATGTAAGGCCTAAGAGTACCTTGGAGAAGCAGTGTAACAAGGCAAAGGGTAATTTCAAGAGGAAAAAGTCTCTGTACACTCCTTACAAAAGGGGTATAGGGCAAGCAGTTGTACAGGTATATGATCATTTCATATTTTCAAATTGATCATTTCAGTTTTCGTAAATGATCATTTATGTTTTTTTTTTTAAATAGGAACTTGATGAGAACGGTTGTGCTGTTACTTATGCTAATTCTATTAGTGATCCCATTGAATTGATTGTTTTGAGCAATAAACGGGCTCAGGTAAATTCAAATGTGCCAAAAAAAACATTTTATTTATATTTTATTAATATTGATTTTTATAATTTAAAAATATAGGTCGGCTTAAAATCAGCTGTTGTAGAAGAAATTCCTTCTAGTTCTAAGGAATCAAATCATAGTATTTCCAATGATTTTGATCAGGTATATGAACATTTATGATCTATATTATAATTTTTTTTTATTTAATTTTTTATTTTATATATTTTTTTTTGGTTTTTTTGTAGGCTACTGGTGAAAGCTCTCTTTCATCTATCATATCTATTGATGTTGATATTTCATCTATTGCTAAGGTTTTTTTTTTTCCATATTTGTTTGTATAAGTGTTTGTAACTGATCATATACTGGTTTATTAATGATCAATTTAATTTTTTTAAAGGCGAAGGATTTAAATCTTGAAGGTGTTTCTGCTGTTCAACCTTGTTCTAATTTTGGTGCAAATGAAGGTGCTTCTGGTGTTAAAACTTACTCTCAAATTAATCCAAGAGTTCCAATTCATACTAGTGCGTCAACAAAATCTCCTGTTGTTATTCAACCTACTGTTCCCAGGAATGTTCAAAATCAAACTCAGAATTGTTCAAACACCAATCCAGAAATGATCATATCCAACTCCAGGAATGTTCAATCAACAAATGTTCAAGTTATTTCTCCTACGGTTCAAATAAATGATCAAGGATTTCCTGTTCAGAATGTTCAAGTTACTCCTCCCACAGTTCAAAGAAATGATCAAGGTGCTCGTGTTCCAATTCTTCAATCAAGAAATGTTCAATTAGGTTCTAAAAAGATTTCTTCTAAATATGATAGGTTGTTAGCCTTTTTTGATACAAGTGTAGCTAAACGTTTGGCTAATAAAGATAAATAATTAGTATTCCAGAACTTTATAAACATTAGACTTTTTTGTAATGTTGATTTAATTACTATTTTGTAATTTTGAATTTTCGATCTATTATATAAAAAACTTTCATTCAAAGATTAAAATGAAATATCAATTACAATAATATTAAAATAAAATCCATAAGTCTACTTCTAAAAAAAAAAAATAGTCATATATAAGAAATGAACATATACATAGTTGTAAATGAACATTTGAAACTACAAAGTTGCAAATTTTCTAGCTTTCCTTCTATTTGCTCTTGATTCAGTGTTTTCTTCAAATAACATCAGTTCTGCTGTGTATTGGAGCCTTAGATTTCTAATTTGTTCCACCTGTTGAACAAAATGAATTGTCAAATTTTAATTAAACAATCTTTACTGTTTCATAAATGAATATTATATCTTAAATAATTGATCATTTATAACTCTTACATTGTTTGGTTTTAAATCACAAATCCAGCTCTCATTAGGATCAGCAGTGAAGGTTTCCATATGCTTCATAATGTAAACTCCACAGTTTGTATAGTCATTGTTGCTACGCCATTTCATCTTTTCCAAAACAACTGTGTAGTCTTCAATTCTTTTTGCATCTTGATATCCAAGGTGTTTCATGTACTCTGCCAATCCTTTTAACTGATAGAAAAAAGAGTAAAAATTGTTTAGAAGTTTGTATTGTGATGAAGACATGAACAATTAATAAAATATAATTGATCATGTAGTCAACTATAAATGAACATATTATCTCACCATCATTTTTGGTTGTTCTTCATATTTTGCTTGGACTGATACCTTTTTTGGTAGTTTTCTATTGTCAATTATATGAATTTTGTCTTCTATATGATTGACGCACAACAGAAAAAAATGTTGAGAAGTTGATACTGGGAAGAAGACCTGAACAAATTATATAATGTTATTGGACAATATATTGAAGGTAATTGAACATTTGTATTAAACAAGAATTAATACCTGTTTATATCCAACAATGCTGTCAATTTTATTCAACTTCAGTTCATTGTCAATTCTTTCTATGAAGGCATTAATTCTTGTCTTCATTGATGATCCTTCTTGACAAACTTTATTTGTGCACATAATGTGCTGTTGAAATACAAACAAACATATAGAAGTTAAATGAATTTTTAGCAATTATTTATCATAGGAAAATAGAATCAATAATATAAAAAAAGAAGAAAGACTAACATGAAGCACTGTTGAGAAATAAATCTTGTTTCTCGGCTTTTTATGATTAAGAAACCTTGCCCATCCATCTATGACACAATTTGTCACTTCAACATCATCTCCAAGAGTTTTCATTTCATTTCTATTGATGAGATTCAAGCCATCATAGTATAAGAGTGCACTGCATTATGAACATTTAATAATATGAATGTGAACATATTTTTATAAAAGATATTAAACCTTAAGTTTAATTAGTGTAAGTAATTACCTTTCATCTTTTCCACCAAGAGCAAAGTCTACTGCAATTTGGTTCATGGCTTTCTCATCTTTAAACAGATCCTTGTACTTGACCAAGTAAGGAGATCGGAAAGCAGGAGGAAGTGTTTTCTTTTCGCGTTTTGGTCTTGTTGTTCAATATAAAATATTGTTAAATTAAGAAAATTATGAGGAACATAAATGAACATTTGAGTGTATATAAATAAATTTGAAATTATACCTTTCAACCTTTTCCTTTTCAGTTTTTTTCTTCTTTTCTGCAATTGACTTTTTCTTATCATCATTCCTGGTCATATTACATAACACAAATGTACATTTAGGTATATGAAAATGTTCATTATTATTTTTGAACATTTACTTAATATAAATAATGTACCTTTTTGTGACTTTTGAGGATGAAGCAACAATCTTCTTGTTTTCACTGAAAAGTGAAACAATGTCAGTACATATTAATAAAATAAAAGCTTCTTATGTAACACCCTGAATCATTTTCAATTCATAAAATGAAAGATATTGATTTAACATAAACCTATTGATTTAACATAAACCACACATTCATATTACATATTCAACAAAATAATGTTCACACATACAATAGTTTGAGAAACACCAGTTTCAAGTTACAACACGATAGTAACATAAGTTAAATTGTTCCATCTAGATATTTTATCCTACACCATTACATAACCCTAATAGTAAGACATGTCTTCAGGATTTTACCCCTCCACTTTTTCATCATTTTTTGTTTTTTCAAAAACATCTTCCTTGTTTTGTTTTCCACCTCCAACTGTGTTTTTTGGATCATCACTTTTTTCACCACCATCTGACCTAGGGTCAGCATCAACCACTGAACCAGATCCTGCATCTAAGAAAAAATTTAATTAGATATAATATAATTTCTTTGTAAATGAACATTTGAGTATTTATAATTGAACATTATACCTGTTCTAGGCAATCCTTCATTATCTGACCTAGTGTCAGCATCAAGTTTTGAACCAGTTGCTGCGTCTAACAAAATAATACAATTAATAATGAATATTTCTTGTTTGTAAATGAACATTTTACACTTTTTAATTGAACATTATACCAGTTCTAGAAAATTCTTCAATTCTTTGTTCTGAAGCTGCTGAAGTTTTACCCACATCCTTTTCTCCAGCTGTATTATAAATCATCATTTTGGAGATACACTAAGTTAATAGTATTTACACATAATAATTAGAAATGAACATTTCTACTTAAGTTTATGTACATTATTATTAAATATATGAACATATTACCATTTGTTGAAATTATTGGTTGTTCAATTATATCACCAAGTGTTGAAAAGGTGGGCCCTGTTTCTGTTTAGGACAATTTAGACCACAAATTTAGAATTTTTCATATAAAAATTAGGATATATAGTCTCTTTTAGTTAGAATTTACCAATGGCTGGAGAAGGTGGAGTCAACCCCAAGCTGAAAGCTTTTCTGATGTCATATTCTTGTTCTTTTTCCTTTCCCTTTTTGGTTAATTTCTTCCCAGTCATTTGCTTCTCAGTTGTTTGCTTTTCAGACCCTTGCATCAGATTCTTCTCAGCTTGTGCAAGTGCATTTAGGAAATCCTCACTGCCAAAGAATTCTTCATCTTGGCTTAGAATTGATGGTTCCCTAGCTACCACCTTTCCTAAAACTTCATCAACTTTTTTCACCAAGTCATTTCCAGGGAAGATATCCTTTGCCTTCACCAATTTTGAAGAAAGCTTTGACAGGTTTGAACAAGTTGTTTTTACCAGGGAAACAAAATCATCCATAAAAACCTATATGAATGAATATTAAAAATTATGCAGTTGAACATTTCAGATTATACAAATGAACATTTATGTTAACAAAAGTGATCATTTTATAACCTTAGGACTTTCTTCAACTTCTGCAGCAATCCTTGGTAGAATTTTCCCTCTCCCAAATCCCAATTCTAATTCAATCTTCAACCTCTCAAGAACCATGTCTCTATTCCATGCAGATATGATAGGAATTGTTCTTGGAGGCCTTTTGTCTAACCTCTGAACTCTATCAAAATAGAACAACTACAAGAAAAAAGAAAACATGGAACAGAACATAAACAATAAAAAAAAGTGCATTTATTTAAATTTAAATGAACATCTTGTATCTAAGAATATACCATCAGAAATTGAAGAGGGCCTTTGTAGAACCCCTTGCCTTGCTGCTTTCTCCAATCAACATGACATTTAATAAGTGAGTCATATACAAACTGACACCAGTTCAAATTTTTTATGTTTTCTTTGTCCATCATAGAATAAAGAAATTTGAAATGGCATTGATTGTTTGATACACATTTCATCAAGCAGTTCACAGCCACTGCTAAAAAGTTAGTAATGAAATGTTCACTTGGTGGTCTGTTGTTGGTGAATTTATCATTTATGTATCCATTCACAATCTGCAAACAAAATGAACAAAACATTTATACTTTTGATCATTTAATGTATTTAAAATGAACATTTAAAACTGATCATACCTGACTCACTGATGGAGTTTTTCCTGACCATGATTTTCTCCATTTCTTCAGAAATTCTGCATACTCCTCACTAATTTTATCAGACTTTGGCTCAACAATTGGAATTTCTCCTGTAGGCAAGCCATAAACTACCCTAACATCCTCTACCTCAATTTCTATTTTTTCATTCTTTGGTAGTTCAAAATACTGGCTATTTTCTTCAAAACTTCCCAATAACCAGTTACAGAACTTTTGATCAAGTTGAGGTAAACTAATGTCAAGAAGTGATCCTAACCCTATATCAATAATTTGTTGTTTTTGGGTAGGTGTCATCTTTTTTATCCATGCAATGAACTTCACATGTCCTCCTCTCTTTGAAGATTTCTCTTCCTCAAATTCATCTTCCTGAATTTCCTCAACTTCATCAGTTTCTATTGCTTGAACCATTTCAGTTTTCATTTTCTTTTTTCTCCTACCTTCAATCTTTCCTTCATCATACAGTACCATCTTTTGCTCCTCCTTTTCAACCTTTGCCTTCACTGAATTCCCTTTCTTTGCCTGTTTCTTCCTTGGCTTTACTTCTTCCTCTTCCTCCTCTTCCTCCACCTCATAATCATCCTCACTGACAGGCTCTTCTTCTGCTCTATAAACTGACTCTTCACTATCATCATCACTGTCAGGATCTTGAGAGGGTTCATCTGATGGTACTTCTTGTATTTTTTTTCTCTTTCCAGCATTTCTCTTGGCAGGACTGACATCTGAAAATTAAATATATAATTTTGTTTAAGTATTGAAAATGTACAGTAAGCAAATGATAAAATGAACAAAATTGTTTTCTCAAATGATCATTCTATATATAGAAATTGAACATTTATAATATATCATTATATACCTGCTTTTCTTTTGCCAGCAACCTTAGAAGTTTTCTTCACTTCTAGAGTTTTCTTTTTCCCACCTATATATTGAAATTGAACATTAATGATATACCATCATAAATGATCATTCTATACATTAAGATTGAACATTTACCCTTTTTGCCTTGGTCTGGAGGATATTCAGCAGGAGCACCTGCCATTTTTTTTATTGGAGTAGGTGCTGGAGGTGGTGCATCAGCTTCCTTTTGAATAGGAAAATTCCTTGTAGACATTCTTCTCTTCTGTCCTATTTTTGCGGTTTCTTTAGCAGGCTCAACATCCTTCTTCAGGCTTCCCTTTTTAGATTCATCTAACAGAACATCTATTGTTTTTAAAAAAATTTATGTTAGTATATTTGAAAGTGTAATATTTATTGTGTAACAGAAAAGTATTATGATTACCTTGGCTCCTTGTAATTCTACCACTTGGCACAACAACAAGGCTTTTGTTTTTGTTTTTCCTTGCAACCATTTTGTATCTTGTTTTCATTTTGGTTGACTGATCACTTTTTTGTGATGATGGAGCTGTCTCCTCACTAAGTTTTGTGGAAACTTTATCATCATCTTGATCTAGAAGATAAGTTTCATCCTCAATTTGAACAAAATCAGGTGCAATTTGTGCTGCATATGAAATGATCAAATATAAAAGATTAAATAAACATTATTAAATTGGATGACAAAAGTTTACTATATACAATATAAATGAACATTTCAGGTAATGAATATGTACATTTTCCACTATTTACCTTTCGGATCTGTTGTCTTTGTAGACTCATCTTCCACTGTTTTCTCTTTAGGGATTTTCTCCTTTTCAGGCTCTTTTTTTCCCTCTTGTCCTTCTATGAAAATTTAATTAGTTAATATTTATATATTTTTTTAATCTTATTGAACATTCAATATTATGTAGATCCAATATGAACATTTTATGTAATAAAAATGTACATTTATAAATTTTTACCTTCTACATTTGTTGTCTTTGGAAAGACATCTTCCACAGTTTTGTCTTTAGGGCTTTTCTCTTTTTCAGTCCCTTTTTTTCCTTCTTGTACTTCTATTAAAATTTATTTAGTTAAAATTTAATTTTTTTAATCTTATTGAATATTTAATATTATGCTTTTCCAATATGAACATTTTTTGTAATAAAAATGTACATTTTAAAATTTTTACCTTTTTCCACAGTTTTCTCTTCTATTGGCCCTTTTTCTTTCTTTTTTGCTTCACCTTCAAAAGTAATAGTATTGTTAAAATTGATATTTATGACTATTAAACAAAAATATTCAATAAATATGATCATTTACCTTTCCTGATTTCCTTGCTTGCCTTTTCCATTCTTTTGAGATTTCTCATAATTCTGATTGTCGATTCTTTGTACTTTCTGTAAATGTATGATATTAACTTTGAAATATATTCATTAATTGATTAAATTAATTCAATTATTTAAATTTAAACATACTTTGGGTTTCTCTCTATGTCTAAATGTATTTCTTGCATCTTGTCCTTTAATGTTGTTATTCTTGAATCATCTTTGGGTTTTCTGATATTTCATTAAAAATATGTTTGAATTTACAATTTTGATTAGTAAATAAAAAAATGAACATATAACTTATATTACTATTGGCCATGAGCAAACTTTTTTGTACTGATTTTCAAATGAACATATAGTCTATCTAAATTGAACATTTAAGTTTTCTTACTTTTGGCCAAGACTATTCTTTACTGGATTGCTTTGCACTTTTGGTTGAACTTCTTCTTGCTTGCTGAAATCAATATTAAGAAATACTTTAAATAAAAAATGCACATAAATTGTACATAAAATATACTGTTATAAAAATGAACATTTGTTTATATAAAATTGATCATTAGTATACCTTTCATCCCTGCTCTCTTTGTCAGTTGTGTTATGTGTAGCAGACACACTCTTAGTTGTTGCATTAGTAGCAGGAATGTTCTCACTTTGTTCACTTAAAAAAAACAGAATTATTTTATATAATATGATATTAAAGTATGAACTAATTTATACAATGAAGAAGATAATTAGTTATTTTGTATAAAGCTTTTATACCTTATTGTTTGATTTGTCTCTGGTGGTCTTGATTTTGACATAACAAATTTCACTCGAACCTTTTTTTTTTCACTAAAATTTTAAGAATTACCTAATAAGTTTGGTATATATATACAATGTACAATAATTGAATGTAAAAACAATTATTTTATACATATAAACTTACTTGTTTAAAGTGTATCTTTCATAACTATTACCATATTCATTTTGTTGTATAACCTTCTTTAGAGTTAATGGTTCAGATTTCCCATCTCTAAATTGAAGCAAGTGTATCACTCTAAATGGCACATCACTACATTATAAATTAATTACATGACATTAGTTTGAATGCATATCACTGAAATGATTATTATCATATTTATATATGTGCATGATGATTTAATGAAATGTATATTTGTTATTTAAATCTCAATGACTACTCAAATGAACAAATATACATATATGATCATAATTATATCTATAAATGAACATTATGAGTATCAAATATGATCATATACAATGATGTTTCAATGAAATGTACTTTTGTTTTTAAATCTCAATAAATACTCATATGAACAAATATAAATATATGATCATAACTATATCTATAAATGAACATTATGAGTATCAAATATGATCATATACAAATAACATATTAAACAAAGATAAAACCAATTTTATCAAATACAACTAGCATATTAGACATGAACATAATATATTCTGTAAATGACTAATTACCTTGGTAGTGGAGACATTGTTAAATCCGTACCAATTGACTTGTCAATATCTTTTAAAAGTTCCGGATCTACAATTGGATCATTTTGGCGGTTTTTTTTCAATTTGTCTACTCTTGACTGAAGAGGTACATCATCATCATCGTCTCTGTTTTATTTAATAAATTGTTAATGTTTTAGTTATTTTCAGTAAAATCTTAGAACAATTACTACAATCGCAAAAAATTTTAACAAAAATTAGGTTTTACAAAAGTTAGGGTTCATACATTTCTTCAGAAATTTTCAACAAATTACTCGTCTGTGAAGTATTTTTCTCCAAAATCATACTACAATTGCAAAAAATTGAACAAAAATTAGGTTTCACACATAAAATCGCACTATAATTGTCATCGCAAGAATATGAACAAAATTACTTACTCTTTGGTAACATTTTGCTCTGATTTTCCAGTTTTATCTTCCATGTTCTTCTCTAAAGCGTTTTTTTTGCAAAATCACTCTACAATCACAAGGAAAAGAACCAAAATTATGCTTCATACAAAAATTGTACTAAAATCGTAATCAAATGAACAAAATTACTTACTCTTTATCAAAATGCTGCTGCGATTGTTTAATTTCATCTCGAATATCAGACATTTGAAGTAATTATGAAGTGTTTTGAAGCAATTTTGCAATAATTTGAAGAGAATTTCGTTCCGATTCGACGGTGTTGATGAGAGAGAAATTCTACAAAAATGAAGAAGATGGTTTTTAGAGAGAGAATAATTTGATATGGATAGTTTTTTTTTTTACTGTGGTTAGTGGGGGTAGTTACTGTAGTTTGTGGGGGTAGGGGAAAAACGCAAAACGCTGCGTTTTGTAGGGGGTGTAGGTTATGGTACCTACACTAGGGTCTAGTGTATACTAGGGGTGGAACCAAGGGGGGCTGGGGTGGGCCTTGGCCTCCCCCTTGGTTTTAGTTATCTAATACTTCCTCCGTTCTTTTTTACATGACCCGCTTTGACTTTTATACTATTCATTACCCTTATTTGACCGTCTTATGTGAATAATATTTAAGGAAAAATATATTCATGTGGGATCTTTTTGTATTCATCTCAATAAGTACTATCATAATATAAAACTTTTATAATTTTTAATTATGGAGAATTAAAAAATAAAAAAGAACAGAGGAAGTAAATGTTGCATTAACTTATGTTAGTTGTATTATAGATGAGTTGGTTTTGGATGTAATATAGAGATCATTTTCTAGCTCCAAGTTCGAAGCTTCCCCCTAACATTTTTGACGAGTGTAAATACTAAATAGACATGTTGCTAGTTAAGATGGAGAGTGATTTTTTTGGTTTATGTCAATGGTTAGCATAATAATACCTAGGATTGACATTTTATTTTTCTTCTCTAACTAAAATTGGTACAATTTTATTCTTCAAAAAAAAAATTTGGTACAATTATTAGGACAATCTCCTTCCCCAAAGTCACAATATTATTCACATTAATATGGTTGTTGAATTTTAAATATTATTAGGCTAATAACAAAAAGGCAAGGTTCATGTAGTTATGTGTCCACGAATCATCTACTACCTCCATTAGTCCATTTCTATATGTTTCAACTCACAATATATTGTATGGACTACTATGAAATATATCGATTCATCTAAAAACAATAAAGGTTTTTTCACGAGTATTCATTGACATAGTACATAGAAAAAAACATACTAATACATGATCTCGTGAGATTCGAAATACTCCGTAGTAATATGTATTGTAGATGCACGTAACATAATCGATAATGCATGGACTTTTGGAGTTAAATTTTGAAGTTGTATAACGTGAAATCTTATAAAAACAACTGGAAAGAGGTGCATAAATGCTACAACTGGGCCGGTGCGTACATGGTGCAACAAGATGCCTGGGCTCGTGTACAAGCTGTAGAATCTTGCAAAAGCTACCTAGTGGAATATAATGCAAAACATTTACATATTTTTTCTTATTATTATGATATGATATGTTGCGCATCATACGATTGATCACGATGCTTATTCCCCAATTCACGATGAGCCGTTTAATGGCTAAATACATGTTAACAAATTGAATGATAGACGTCCGTTGTATGCAAGTTTATGCGTAACGTAAGAAGTCACTGGTAGGTCGATATGTTAGTCTCTTAGACTTGAATCATAAAAAATGATTATTAAACATTAATAGTAGGCAGTCTAGGCACAACTTATAAGCAACATTATTGGTTAATATACACCAAAAAATACATACAATCATACACTTAGGTTTCATAAGAAGTAAAGTACATTACAAATACAAAAACATACTTTTCACACTAAATTGGAAATCAAACAAGGTGGATGTAATTGATACGTACATATATATTGACAATGATTAACCAATCAAACTAAATTACGACTTTCAGCAATATCTTCATCACCAATGAGCTGAGATCGAGGGTCCTTTTCCACGTCTTACCTCTTACCTGCTCAAAAATAAAATTATAAATTAAAAAAAAAAAAAAAAAAAAAAAAACGGTGGGTTCGTTCAATAATCTCAATGTGAATCCGCCCTTGTGCACTTGAGACTTTGGGCTTATCCCACTACCTCCGTCTAGCATGTTTAGTTATGACTTACGAGCGAGTAATCTTTATATGCTTGTATATTAGCTGTAATCTTTATTACGTGCAACCTGATCTAGTTTTCTCTATGTAAGTCCTTGTTAAAAGCCAGGATTAATAGCATAATATTGATCATATTGGGAGAATTTATAAAAAAAGGAAAAAAAAATTTCATTATTGGGAGAACATTTGATAAGAATGAAGAATATAGTATAATTTTTTACAGAGTATGGTATTTAACTAAATTAATACGGAGTATGCTTTTCTCAAATAATAACCCCACATATATCTTTATTCAAAAAAAAAAAAAAAACCCACATATATCGATGTTGTTGGTTATTATCGTAACATATCTTTAGATGAAAAATTATTAGAAGTACTCTGGTATATTACTACAAAGTAACATCTATAACGAAGTACGGAATATTATCATACATAAATGCATAAAAGTGATTTTATTTAGAAAGGAAATTAAGAAAATAAAGTTGTAAAGATGGGAAGATTGAATCACACTTACATACAAGGGAGTGAGTGATCATTTCGTCTTGGTGATGAACCAAATAGCAAAAAGAATCCCAGGGATGTATCCCAATAATGTCAGCAATCTGTAACAATTATTTCAGTAATATAATCAACAACCCATTTAATCAGTCTTTTTTTTTTTTAATTTCTTTTTTAATATAAATCAAGTAATAATTTGGTAATTCAACTTAGCATATACGTATAATATTTACACAACTATTCTGTCAAAAAAAAAAAAAAAAATCTACCTCTCAAACGGTAAGTCTAATTTCTCAGCCTCCTCTCTCTCTCTCTCTCTCTCTCATCCCCGTTACACGCTTCAGCCAATTTCAAGATCACAACGGCGGTGACTCAGACTTGAGAGAGAGGTGGAGAGAGAAACTCACCTTCGCGCTACTTCTCCACTTTCCATTTTTTCTCTCTCTTCAATTCTCCTTCATTTTCCCCAATTCAATTTCCCCAATTCCGAAACCCTAATTTACTCATTCAATCCACTTCCCACGCTACTTTCTTCGTAATGCAGAGTTAGATTCATTCACTTGAATCCAAGGATAAGATTGTCAAATTTGGGGGTAATAATGGCGGAATTAGGGCAACAGACGGTGGAGTTTTCGACACTGGTGAGCCGTGCGGCGGAAGAATCGTTTATTTCTCTTAAGGAATTGGTTGAGAAATCTAAGTCGTCTGATATGTCTGATTCTGAGAAGAAGATTAATCTTCTTAAGTTTATTGTCAAGACTCAGCAGCGTATGTTGCGGCTTAATGTTCTGGCTAAGTGGTGTCAACAGGTTAGTTTGTTTGTTTGTTTTTTTTTTTTTTTTTTGTTACTCTTTTGTTGTTTATTTTGATCAATTTGATTTCAAGATTGTGGAGTAGAGGTGAATTTCTGGGTTTAGACTGTTGCTCGCGACTCGAATGTTGGTTAAATTTTGGAATTGATATGGGACTAGATTTCAATACTGCTGTAATCTATATTAGGGTGAGTTAATTGTTGGGGAGTTGGATGTTAGTTTGATTTTGGAATTTAGTTATTTGAGAAAGTTCGGTATTTTTTCGGATTTTGGTAGATGGGTAATGAATATGAGATTTATTTCCAATGTTTTTCTAAATGTAATGTTGCATCTTAATGTCCTTGCTAAGTGGTGTCAAATGGTTAGTTTCTTATAAATTTGATTTCAAGATTGTAGAGTAGAAGACTAGAAGTGGATTTTTGGGTTTTAGACTGTTGCTCGGGACTCGAATGTTAGTTGAATTTTGGAATTGATATGGGATTGAAATGTAATGCTGCTTTAATTTATATTAGGGTGAATTTATTGTTGGGGAGTTGAATGAATCTTAGTTTAATTTTGAAATTTAGTGATTTGAGAAAGTTCGGGTTTTTTTATTTTATTTTATTTATTTATGGGTTTTGGTACATGGGCAGCGAATATGAGATTTATTTCCAACGTTTTGAAAGTACTCATTAATGTTTTCTACATTGTAAAGTTGCGTCTTAATGTTCTGGCTAAGTGGTGTCAGCAGGTTAGTTTTTTTGTTTTTTGTTGTTGATTCCAAGATTATGGAGTGGAGGCGATTTTCTGGGGTTTAGACTGTTGCTTGTGACTCGAATGTTAGTTGAATTTTGAAATTGTTATGGGATTGAGTTGCAATGCTGCTTTAATCTATATTAGGGTTGCTTAATTGTTGGGGAGCTGAATGTTAGTTTGATTTAGAAATTTAGTGATTTGAGAGAGTTTGGTTCTTTTTCGGGTTTTGTAGATGGTTGGCAAATATGAGATTGCTTTTCAAGTGTCAAAAGTACCAATATTTTCCTGCTATGTATAGGCGTATACCATCCTCATCCTGTTACATACATGGATGAAATGATTTGAGAAAGCTTGGATCATTTTGGCTTGTTTGATGATTATCATCTAGGTTGCATTTGGTAATTTCGAATGGATTTCAATGTGCTGAACATAGTTTTAGAAAGTAAAATTGCAAGATTCAATTTTACAAATAACATGTCTCTTGAAAATTTGAAATTGAAGTCCTGACCTTGAGAGTGTGGTACAATGTCACATGTTTTCTGGAAGGATAGTACCATACTCCGTATTACATTGGAGAGGCAACATTTTGTTATTTTGTTTTTAATATTGTTAATAATGAGATTAGCTGAAGACAAGGGGATATTGATGTAATGGGTAAGAGAGCTGAAGTACTCCAGTGGGCTAAATCTCAGCATAATGGGAGTTTTTTTTTCCCCCTTCCTTTTAATTATTATTATTATTTTTATTTTATAAAAAAAAACTTGAACAAGATAGCTGAGGTTATCATGCTTTTATGAGGCATATATAAAATCAAAATAGGATTT